GGGAGCGCCGCCACGCTTCCCAAGCGGCGCACTATCCAGTGCACCACCGGGCCGGCCCAAGAGGAACTTGTTAAAGCCACACTACACGTCAGATAGAAGCACCTGACATCCATTATTTCACGTAATCCTCCCAAAGCCCATCCAAAGGACGAGAAGACTAGATGAAAGTTTCAGGGTGACTGTTTCAAACCAAGGTCACTACGCCACTCTACCCTCTCAAGAAGGCACGCCTTTGTGTCCAATACTTGAAAACATCTTTTCCTCCCATAACAGCCAGCACGTCAGAAGGTTTGTCACTGTCATCTCCCCCAGGTGGGTCCTTGCATCAGGCAGAGAGGGCTCCTTAGAGCACTGGAACATGGCACGCTGGTCCACGGCCTGTCCTGTCTGCTCTCTCCCTCTCAGATGCCCCTCCCTCTGTTTTTTACCTAGCTATGCCCACCCACTGCCAGTTAAAAGTTTTCCTATTGAGGAATCACATACATGAAATGGACTGTGCTAACTGTAAGTGCATACAGCTCCGTGAGTGCTCACTTACGTACACCATGTACACATGCTGCCAGATCAAGATACAGACATGCCAAGAGGTTCCCTTTTATCCCTTTCCAATCAATAACCTCTGTCCAAAGTTAACTGCTATTAGGATTTCCATCACCATGGATTAATTTTGTTTGTTTTGTACTTTAATGGAATCCTATAGTATGAACTTTTTTGTATTTGGCTTCTTTTGCTAATACATCCACTCAGTATTAAAAACACAAGCCTCACCTCCTCCAGGTGGCCTCCTGATACATAAACCCACACTTCTGTCCTCATTCCAGTCTGATAATCCTGTGCACAGGCACCGCTCTGCACAGCTCTATCACACTGTCAATCAACAGTAAGCTTCATGAAGGCAGGCATCTTATCTGTTTGGGTCACTGCATCATCTCCAGAACACTGCTTGCCACTTAACAGGGGATCAGTAAACATCTGCTGACCAATGAATCACATCCTTCACTGCACACTGAGCCCGATCATTTATAGACTTGTCTGCTTCTCTTATCAGATCATAAACTCTAAGAGGACAGGGATTAGATCTTGTAAATAATATCATAGAGCACTTATGTGCCAGGCATGGTGCTAAGTAATTTGCAGGTGTCATCTAATCTAATCTTTACAACAATCTTGGAAAGAAAATATTACCATTATTATTTCTATTTTTCCAGAGGACAAAGCAAATCTGGAGTGTTAAGTGCCTGCTCCCAGGAGATGAGTGTTCCCTGGCAGGTGCTTCCAAAATAATGGAGGAGGCAAGAGGGTGAAACTGCAGTGTGCTGGAAGACAAGCTTACTTAAAAGAATAAAATGAGGCCAGGCTCTGGCCAAGCCGGTGTGGCATGTAGCAATATGCACAATTTATATAGAGACTGATGACACTGTCTTGCTTTTAAAAACTTTGTCTCTCCCTAATACAGGACAAAGGGCTTCACAATGCAGTTATAAGGAACAACTAAAACAACTTCCTTGAAAATAATCCTCATGCAACACATAAATCTTTATATCATCTCTTTGTTAGGATAAGATCTATTTTTTACTCAGGCTCAACTAGAACTTCCAAAGTACAAAGCCAACCGAAGACTAAATATCTTGCAGATGGAAGAACTGCTCACCAAGAGAAATCTAAAATGATCCATTTGTGTCTCTGTATGCCAAACCCAAACAAGTCAGATTCAGACTTGGATTACCACCTCATCTTCACACGGCCCACACTGCCGTCTTCCCGGAGCACTTCAGAGCAATCTGGAGCCGGTGAAGCAGATCTTGCACATACAACTTTCCAGGTGAGCCCATCTCTGGCATCAAATGGCTGGTTTCAGTGGCAGCTTCACCCTGCCGCAAGTTTGCAGAAGTCCAGATGAAATCTGTCACTCCTGTGGCATGCTGCCTGGATGCTAATAGCATCTCTTAGACACAGTAGCCGCTCACAGAGACTCCAGAGGACAGAACAAGACAGTCCTTGTTGCCCGTGCTGAAAGGAGCCGCTTCTTGAAACTGCTTCAATTGAATCAGTCCCACCCCCTCTTAGATGCCGTCAATACTGCATAACATCCCCCGGGGCTTCGCAGAGTCTTGCCAAGCCCTTCCTCCCGGCATGAAGCAGAAAGCACTATATCACTAAGGCAGGGATGAGACTGGCTCATTGAAAGATGGAATGCTGAGGGCAAGAAAAACCAGGGCACTGACTTACCCATTATGAAATTTAGATATCAAGTCCAGGGCTCACTCACTGACATCTATTTTCTCCAGGGACAATATGAAATGATCAAGATGAATTCACAGTCTACCACACACCCATTCGTAAACTTTTCCCTTTGCCCAAACAGAGCGATTAGAATGAGCAACGCTGCACGAAAGTCGGCCTGCAGTGCATCCGCTGCCAAGGTTCACCTGACCACTCCTTCCACCCACTCACCCTGCACGGGCCCTGTGCTAGTGTGGGGGCTCACAGTGAATAAAACGGGGTCCCTTGCTCTTCACAGCCCTCCAACATGAACGAGCAGACAGCAGGAAACAAACACACACAAAACCCAACACAGTGAGCAGTGTGCAGAGACAGAGCACTCTCCTTAAAACACATCCGACCCAGGTAGAGACTCTTAACTTAAATATCTATCGATGCAGTCCTTCCATAACCCCCAAATTCTCCATGTATGGCATGAAATGTCTCTCAGTTTCCAATTTGGAAGTTAGCTGTGGAAGCACCTTGTCCTGCCGCTCATATAATTAGGCACAGGAGGTTTAAATTTAATTGCACAGAGGTCAAAGATATGACAAAGTCCAACTTCTCATTGAATACCAGGCATCCGCTAGAAAAGAGAGAGATGCTCATAGCTGGGAAAGTGGAAAGCAGGCTTTGAAATAACACTGTGGGGCTGCAAATGAAACCACGCAGGATGGGGGTCCCTCCGGGGACTTCATCACTGACAGGGTCTCCTGATTTCTCAGTAGAAGTGAAGAGATCTCAGTTGCTCTTTAACCTTCCTTTTATCCCTCCTAAAATGGCATTGAACAGTCACCTTTTGTGTTCCTTCTTATAGCCTACAGATTTACCTGTGGTTCCTTTTGAAATTTATTTATACATGACCTTGAAAAACAGTCCAAGCCATAGGAAGGAGCAGGATTGCAAAGACAGTTGTGTTTTTCCATTACCTCACACATTCAATTCAACTAGATTAATTCAATAAACTGATCCATGAAAGAAAACCCACAGTGTAAAAAATTATCATTGTGAATTCTGTGAGACCAAGCCTTACAAAACTGGAAACCAGCTCAAGTCACCTAATGAAAAAAATCTAAGCAAAGCAAAATAATAGCCTTAGCCCACTAAAAGAGTTCTAAAATTTAGATTTTGTGACATGTTACGTAATTAAATAAATGATTTCTTGTTTATCATATTAAGTAGCTCAGACCTCAAGTCTGGTCCAGAATCCTTCAGTTAACATGAAGTCAAATGATCTGTTTTCCCACTAATAAAATACTGATACCATCACCTCGCTCCTGTCCTATTGGGGTTGGTGATAAGAAACATAAAATCCAATACTTTGACAGGCACAATACAAACATAAAAGATTGTTATTGGACTTAGAGTCCAGGTTCAACAAGGAAAAAAATACCGTAACTTGCAAAAAATTTTTCCATGTAAACCGTCTTCTTCATATTGTGATTTTTCCTAAAGCATGAAGTAAAGACTATATCAGAGATACTACTTCCAATTTTAGTCCATCCCATTTACTTCCTGTTGTTAATTAAATCATTAACAGAGGCAGGAAGAGCGCAAAGACTTCCTCAAACAATGCCCCTTTGTCAGGAGGCCCAGGAGCTGGTTATCCGGATGGCTGACAGCACCAGCCACACTCACTAGGCTTCTAGCTCCTCTTTGTGAGAGGAATTTTGAGAGGGATTTCTTATTACGGTTTTTTTGTTGCTGTTTTTTTTGATTATCCTATAACTAAATACAATGGGTGAAGAAAGTTTGCGTTCATCACTGAACATGTCCTAGATGCCTCTTCACTGTATACA